AACTGCACTTACAATATTCACCACTGTTTGTCGCCATTTTCCTTTGTCCTCCGAGCTCGCAATGAATCACGGGATACTCTAGGCTATGGAGGATACAGCAGTCCTGTCCTTCAAACAAGGTGAAAAAAAAGGGCTGCATTTGTTGGTCATATACCAATGAGTCTGACAATTCGAACAAGCCACGGCGACGCACTAAGATGCAATCGGCCGGCAAATCTGGCCTTTGGAGGACGCAGTCAAGACTCTAACACAGCAATTCACCTAAACACCAGGGGGAGTCAAGGTGAGGTTGGAGATAATGAGAGGAGTCGCTTTTCACACATCTTGTTTTGGTCTACAGACAGTGCTGAACAGCCCCACCTAATGGTGAAATTTGGCTTATCACTCCTTTAAATTTATTGCACACCTACATTTGTAATAATAATGCACCAGAAACGCAAACAGATATATAAATTGTTACAGCTTCAGGAGTCTGATTGACAAAAAACATCCTGTATGACTTAATTCAGTTTTGCGATCCCATTATTAAAAAAAAAAGTCCCCATTCTTTTGGGAATCGTGTGAGGTTCCTATCCCTGCTACAGTCCCTTGCAAAAGTGTTTATTAACCTTGAAATTATTCCAATTCTGTCATGTTACAGATATAAACTTCAGTGTGTTCTATCTGGATTATTAGTGTGACTGTAGGTCAGAGAGGCCAACCAAGAGGTTGCCATTCAGCCAAAATGACAAAAAGAGCATCCAATGGAAATGCAACCAATGAGCCTCGTTATTCTGAAGGAGTTGCACAGATCCGCAGCTCAGGGAGAGAAAGTTGACAGGACAACTACTATCCTGTTTCCAGTATCATGCATTATTTTCTAACGATGCGCACCCCATCATCACAGTAAAATGTTGTGTTGGTGGCATCAAGCTATAGACCTATTTTTCTCCATCAGGAAAAGGAAAACAGATCAGACTTGGAAGAAAGATGAAATAAACACAATAATGTGCAATGCTGCAAGAGACCCTGTTAAAATCTCACCTTCTACCAACACAGCAACTCTGAAATGTTCACTGTACTAGAATGGCTCAAAGTCAATAACTTGATTCAGTATTTTTGCAGGGAAGACTTAAATACATTATGTTCTTGTATCTATTCTGACAAACTTGGGTTATTTTAGGTAAATATTTCTGTCTGTAGATGAGCAAGGCAGGAAGATCTCAAATGCACTGAAGTTTGTGGCTGTATTGTGTCAAAATTGGAACAGTTCAAGCTTTATAAATACCTTAAGAAGGCACTGTAGATAAAACAAGCGGTGCTGTGAATTAAAACATTTAAGGTTTTGCTATACTTGATGGAAGATCATAATCTAAACAGTCTTGTGCATTTATATGGATTAAATGGCATAAAAATACTAAGTGTTTCCCTTTCTTTAGCTGTGGAGTGTCTTTATAGGTAAATGGGGGAAAAAATGGGGTTAGCAGCTACAGTTTTGGGTTCGTAGGAACCAGAAGTACCCGCAATAGGTGTAAACTTAAATGTAAATCAGATGTTCAAACATCTCGAGTCTAATTAAATTGTTAGTATTATGTGGTTTTAGTACAGTGTTGTGAAAAAGGAGAAGCTACATTTGCTCAGGCAGCAGAATAGACCGCCTCGTCTGAGTCGGGATCCCTGGTGCTGTCCTCGCTGACAGGGGAGCGGCAGCTCAAATCAGCAATCCCGGACTCCTGGTCGCTGCCGTTGGAGAGGTTAGAGTCCTGTGGAGCGAGGATCAGTGCACTGTCTGGGGCTTTGGGTGTGTGGGGGCTGCTGGTGAAGAAGCCGCCAGTGTAGTCTTGAGGAGTGTTGGCCATTGAAAGGTCCTTCCCAAAAGCCCAAGCTGTGGGGCTCTTAGCAAAGGTGGCTGCTGTGAAAGAATCGTTAACACCCTCCTCCTGCTCTTCCTCCTCCTTCTCCTCCAGTTGGGCTATTTTCTGTTAACAGGAAAAAAAAATAGCAAAACCATCTTTACATCCAGGAACCGGTTTGTTGGACATTTGGTTTTTTTATTGTCATTAAGAGCCACACCTGCTTGTGGGAATCCAGCTGTTCCTCCAGCTGCTGCGTCTCATCTCGGATTACCCTCAGGTAATCCTCCACAGACTGTCGGGGGTGCATCCCCCGGTCAAAGCGGTTGTATAACCCTCTCCAAAATCTATACAATACAGAGAAAAAAAAATAACAATCAGGTACCATGAAACCCAGATTTATAGATTTTTTTTCTGTTACACATGCAACTACTTTCTTCAGCACGGACTAAACTAACACTGCTGAAAAACGTACTTGAAACAGTAGGGGGCGGTAGATGGTCGGAGGAGTCCTTGAGACTGGCTGTGGTTCTCTCTGTAGAGCGGGTTGATGAACTCTGCACGGTTCGTCCAAAGATAACTCCACAAAGAGTGTGTTTTTTCATGCACTCTTCATGAAAGACATTTAAACAACCACAGGGGATGATAATATTAGTCTTTACCTCCTTTAACTGAATCACCTCAGTAGAAGGAGAAAGGTGATACTGGCCAAAGATTTTTTTAAAACCCCACCTGAGCTCTCTCCTCTCCCGCTGGTTGTTTCCAATGAAGTTTCCAAACTGGCAGGAGTAGATGTGGTTGTGAAGAGTGGTTAAGAACCTTTCGTTGTATTCAAAGGCACAGGGGAACTGCTCCATCAGCTGCCACACGCACTCCAGGAACTGATCAATGATTGGAGACACCTCTTTGGGATCTCCAATCAAATGGTTGCACCTGGGGACAAGATGCAAGAACCTCTATTATTAATACACAGTATGCTGATCGCATTAAAGATTTGTGTATATATATATATATATATATATATATATATATATATATATATATATATATATATATATATATATATATATATATATATATATATATACAGTGAATCATTTTATCAGGGTTTTTATAAAATATGCCCAAAAAAACCCCAAAAAACCCAGAAAGTGGTCAAAACTGAAATTGTGAAGTTGAAGGAAAAGGTATGTTTGCATAATTCTGAAAATATAGATACAAAAAGAGGCATGCATTTGATTCTGCCAGCTGAAGTCAGCACTTTTTAGAAACAACTTAAAGTGCATCTTATGTGGTGTATGTATCTATTACTTGTGCACATCCAATTCTGCAGAAAAGCTCAACCTCAGTCAGATTGGGTGGAAATCCCGTTTCAATATTAGTTTGCAAGTTTTGCCACAAACTTTCAATTGAGTTTAGGTGTCATCTATGAATGGGCCTTTCTAGTGCTTAAGTTCAACAAGGTTTTACACTGTATTCAGTGTGACTGAAGTGCGGGTGCTGAATGAACTACAATCATTATAATAAATGCGTACATTCACATCAGCTGAAGTTTTCCTGCTGTGCTTAAACTGTTTCTGCAAGAAGACGCTGCAGAAGTCTCTGCATCCAGAGGCATAGCCAGAAATGTTTTTATAAGGGTGGCCAGGCAGTACCCAATGTACACTGAGGGGTGGCCGAAAGCAACTAGGCATAGTTTCAACAGTAAAATTAACGAGCCAAACATCCATGTTGTCTAAATAAAGACTAATTATACTTTCCTACAGCCTTTGCTAACAAATAGACACATATATTTAAACATCCATAGATTCTAGATAAAAGGTATAGTGGATAAAACTCATTTTGAGTTCTGGGGCGTAAATCAATCATCTTTGTCATTACTTACCTACTTGTATTAATAAACATTCTGCATAAAATGGATATTTACAAGCACTAATATCTACATAATTGATTATTTTATAAGTTTTTATTAAAAATATTTATCTTTGATTTCACTGAAGACTCCTAGATGACTCGCAGAGACACATATTTTTCTCTTTAACCCATAAAACACAAAATCTAGTTCTGAAAAGAGCATGAATTCTGTATTTATCATCTTTGATGTTAGTTTATTGATGTGTATAATTAACCACAAAAAATAAAATGTTTTGAATATTCCACTTGAGAGTATTACTGCTGCCATCATCTGTATTAGAGGGAAAAAAATGGTAGGGGTGGCCAATGATAGGGTAAGGGTGGCCATGGCCACCCATGGCCCCCCATCTAGCTCTGCCACTGTCTGCATCAAGCTCCTCAATTTCACAGACAAAGTCTGGCACAAACCAAAGAAGAGATTACTAGAACATTTCAGAATAAAATTGACACCTCAACTTACGACATTGAGACAAAATAAAATGGTAAAAGAGAAACAGAAGGGAATCGAGGGGTTATTGGGGCATGAGGAGGGATATTTATGAGCCCAGATACCATGTTTTGCCCTGAAACTCCTGGAAAAAGCACATGACCTTTGTTTCTGCAGCCAGAGTATGGGGAGAAAATTTTTTTAACAGTTCTTTAGAAATTACATTCAACTTTTACCTTCAGTTGTACTTAAGATAGGATCACGATTTATGTCTGTTAGATCAGAAGAGTGCATTCCTGGCTTTGTGGCTCACCTATTATACAATAAAAATATAAAAATAAAAAACTTGCCCTAGTTTTATATGTGTTGGTATTTTATTCTTTTGTCCCCTGCCCCCATATAAAAAAAAACAAACACGGGCCCCATCCTCTGGTAAATTCTGTCCAGTACTGCTGAACTTTGGCGGGCTTTTGAAGCTGAAACACTTTAGATCCTTCTTCCTGTGACCTGCTGTTCATCAAGGCAGCAGTCTCAATCATTTATTCACACAGACTACAGCTCTAGCTGATGTGCCCCCTAAACACACAGCAGACACTCCTGCTACCAACAATTCATAACCCAAATACAACCTTTATAACCTGACTGAAGAGCAGCAGAGACATTTTCTAGGTTAGGCTACACTGTTAGTTTATAATCAGTCAGGGTGAATATATTGATCTTTTATATCCAACACAATCCAGCTCTAGTCTGTCATCAAGTGTGAGAAATATCAGCATGGACACCTGCTTACAGGTGTGCAGCTTACATTGACAGTTTCCTTTTCGCTATCCAAGCCTCCATCTGATCCTTCCTCATTCATGTCCTGAGTGTCCTAGAAATTCAGATTCTGGAAGAATCACGCTGCTGGTATTATTGGACCTCAGTGCAGCGTTTGATACAGCTGATGATTTGATTTTATTAAAGCATCTGGTAAACTGGGTCTGCCTTTCTGGTTCCGCACTAAACTGGTTTAAATTCTACCTGAAGACAGAAACTTCTATGTGTCAGTGGGGAACTTTAAATCAGAAACAACAACAAAAAAAAAAAACGCATGCGGAGTTCCTCAAAGCCCCATTCTAGGGCCCCTCCTATTCAACATCTACATGCTCTCCTTAGCTCACATTATAGCAAACATCAACATCAGTGACCATAACTATGCAGACAACACACAGCTTTATATAACAATATAACCAGGTGACTATGAACCCATCAGAGTGTTGGTTTGATGCTTAGAATAGATTAATGTTGGGATGGGCCATAATTTTCTACAACTGAATAAAAATAAAACTAAGGTAATAATCTTCTGACCAAAGGAGGAGAGATTCAGTTAGCTCATAGTTTCAGCTAATAAATCTAAAAACCATTGATTATGGCTGAAATCTTGGTGTCATGATGGATTCAGACCTGAACCTTCAGAGGAACATAGAGGCAGTTACTAAGCAGCCTTTTATCCCCTAAAGAACATTTCAAGGATTAAAGGATTAATGTACAAACAGGACAGTCCTGCATTTATCTTTAGTAGAATTCATCACTGATCATTGTGTTCTCACTAGAACTAAGAAAGTAGAGCACATCAGCCCGGTTTGGAAGTACTTCCCGTGGCTTTCTGTAGCTCAGAGAATATACTTTAAAATCCTTCTGTTAGTCTATAATCTCTGAATGGATCAGCACCTCAATACATACATTTGTCTTCAGCGTATCAACCTCCCAGACCACTCAGGTCTTCTAGTTCCAGCCTACTCTGTTCACCCAGAACTAGAACCAAATATGAAGAAGCAGCATTTAGTTCCTTTGCTCTACTTATCTGAAACAAACTCTTTTACGTCAAAGTTAGAAACCCCTTAGTTTAGAGCTGCCTTGTTTAAGCTAAACTGTTAACTGAGGTATCATTAGATTAAGGTTTTGGTCCAACTGTTTTATTTGCTTTAATATGTGCTTCTATCGTTTGTTTATCTTCATGCTTTTACTCTGCTTTTATTTCATTTTTTTTGTTGCTATTTTATTGTTTAATGCATATAAAGCACTTTGAATTGTCCATGTGCTGATTTGTGCTATAAAAATAAACTTGTCCTGCCTTGAACATTTTCTGTATTCTGGGATTTTCCTCTTTTTAATTTTTAACTATTTTATTTTCAAAAATAAAATAAATTATGTGGGTTCAATTTTGCAAATATAATACGCAGCTCTGTTTTTATTTGTATCTGTGTACAATAATAATTGTGGGACCAAAGTATGCTTCATAGCATACTTTGGTCATACTTTGGCACCTGCGGAGAAGAATCTTTGGAGCCGCCACTATTTAGTTACCCAATGGTGACATACTCTTCCTTTTTAGATTAATGGTGATTAAGTGCAACAAAAGATGCACATTCTAGTTTCTAGTTTCTATTTAGGTTACTTAGAAATGCAGTTGACTAGATTTTAAAACACAACTCATGTCGCTCTGGCGCCTTGCTTTCCTCACATATATTTGAAAAATGCTGCCAGGCTGGATCAGAGAATTTGTCTGGTTGCTGCTTCCTTCCACATACCTTCTCATGGGTATTGTCAATAAATATCCAAACCACACACTGAATTAACAAAAATGTAAATCTTTAATGTCTTCTGATCTTTTGCCACAAAATTAATGCCACATCATTATTTTAGACTCGAAATAGAAGGCACAGTTCTGTTTGTCCAAACTTATTACATTTAATACACTTTCCCTTTTAAATTATTTTCTCCAATAGCTTTTAGGCCATTTGACTGACTGAGAAAGATACTAATAATACATAATGTATTATATTAGGCGGGACATATGAGACACATTTGCTTCATATGCTAATTCAAGGCATTTACTATTTTTATAAACTTTTATAATGAGGAAGATCAAGAATTAATTATCCAATTACAGTCCAAGAAATGTATTTATTGTCGGCCCCCTAAGTGAAACACCTTGTGTTTGAGGAGAGCCGCTGTCTAGATTACAGCAGCACCCTATCAGTTCTCTCTCAGTGAGGTCATATCACTGGTTAAACCAACAGCAAACATTAAATGGAGTAACCCCTTTTTAACCGCCGGAGGGCGCCACATAGACCATTTTAGAAATAAAAGCAAACAAACTTGCAGTAAATTGTCAAAATAATGCCCAGGGCATGCAGACAGCACTATTAGACATCTATTTATACAGTGTATACGCAAGAAATGTTGATTTAGAGGTAAGTCGTCCTTTATCTGGAGTGCCTGGAGTAAATGTTGGTTGAGTAAACGTATGGCATGCCACACTTTTAAGATCTATATCTACAAAGAATGTCTAAACCCATCATTTCCCATCCACTTCCCAGCAAGGAAACATTGTGTTTTGTTTGAATACAAGACAGCATTTGAGTCAAACCTCTGAGTGAATTTGTGTCCAAATGAGATCCAATCTTTTTCGACGAGAACCTAAGCAGGAGAAAAAAAAAAAAATGTATATATTATGAATGCATGAAAATATCTTGTTATATGTCATAATGCGTGACTTGGTTTCTATCTTTTAGAAGTGTAGTAATAAGATTGATATGTTTTAGCAAAGAGCGATCCAACATTATAGGTTGAATAAACAAACAACTGATGGTTTGGTGTATCTACCATGAGTCCTTTCAGGGTCCTGTAGTAGGGATCCAGCAGCACACAGGCCACTGAACACACCTGGGAAGTACGGTCCCAACCATCCGAACAGTGAACCAGGACACTGACACCTTCTGCAACAGCCTGCATGAAAAACAGTCAGACTGAGATGCAATCCTCTTCATTCCAGGGAAAATGCAGAACAAAATGTAACATAGCTCACATACAGACATATAGCCAGGCTGGAATATTATCTTAATCTTAATATAAACTAACGCTAATCAGTTCAGTAGCATGGTTAAAAAATAAAGAGCAGGAAATAAAGGCCTGGATTTGAATTTAATTTCATTTTTTTTTTCAGATATGAAAAAAGGTCAAAGAAAATGTACGGTACCTAAATTAGGGGATATTTTTACCTCAGCTAAGAACATTTTTTTTTCTTTTTCTATGAGAGATTGTGTGTTTGTCTGTCGATCTGTGTACATACCATAATATAGACGGATTTTGATGATTTATTTATTTTTATCAGAGGTGTGCCTCATGCCAAGGAACAATTCATTACATTTTGGTGATGATCCAGATCATAATCTGGATACAGGAATTTTTTTAAAAGGTTCTCTAAAATTGTTAGAGAGATATATTTTGCGGAAAACCAGAGGATGACAGCAGTGAGTATTGACAGCATCAGCATCTGTTGTACTGAAGACGACACAAAAAAAGGGAACGTTGTTTTCCCAGCGTATCCCCACGTATGAAAAATTTGGCAAAAACGCTGTCGTATGTTGGATAACTTATGGCTAAGCTTTGTATAAGCTATGAGCAAGATGAGGCACGCTGAAGCACGTGTTGATATACGGCAAGTGCGCCAAGAAATTGGATGCTCAAAATTTTTTGACGTATGCCGGCATACGTAAGCCGTATGCCGGCATACATCAAGAAATTTTGCGCCTGCTCATACGTGGGGCATAAGTTACAGGCAGGTTATGTGATCGTGGACACATGATAATTGTAAGTTACTCAAAATTCATGGTGTTTAGTTTATCCAACCTGTATCATCCCCAAAATATGGTGAGGATGAAGGTGAGTGTGATTGATCCTCCCTGCGTTCACGCCTACAGCCATGCCAACAAACTTGCTAGCAGACATGATGCTGAATCTGCTGCGACTGCAAACCTTTTTTCTTTCTTCTTTTTATTTATTTTTTTGCGGGGGGTAAACAGCAGCTAGATTAACACTGCGAAGTTCAGAGAAATCTTGTGCTGTATTATACAGGCCGGGCGCCTGCAGGTGCATTGCTGCCCCCCTCAGGACACGGACATTTCATGGGCATTACGATACCATGCGTAATGCCCATGAACTTATGTCCAACGACAGTTAGGCTGTAGCTGGATATAACCCCTTGCTCACACTGGCTCCGGTGCGGTTACCGAGCCGACAGAGACCGCAACTCCCGCACACCCCCTCTCACACCGCCCTTTTGACTACGGTGCGGTGCGGCTCTGCGGCTCCGGCAACAGGTCCGGAGATTTAACAGAAGTTCACTTGAGTTCACGTAACTTCACGCGATAACACGGCCCAAATAAAGGATTTTTGCGAGAGCTTGTTGCGGAGGGCTCCGGCACGCCGCAAGGATAGCTTTCTTGCGGAATTTTCTGCAGCGCCGGAGTGTCTCGGTAACCGCAGCCGGACAGCTCAGCAGCCGGTGAGAGAGGTTTACGTCACTGCGGCGCCGCACCCACCGCACCGCAACGGTAAGACCGGAGTCAGTGTGAGCCTGGGGTTAAGTTCTGTACTCGTTATGAATACCCAAAGTATACGCCCACAATAAAAAAACAAAACAAAACAGAAACTTCAGTGTATGCCAGCATTTTAGAAGATTCTGGGATGTTGGGCATATATGCTGGCTAAATATTTAAGTTGTGACAGGGCCATTAGTAGGATCAATTGAAAAGCTATTAATGTTTTTTATGGACATTTTTACCAGAGGTGTGCCTCATGCTAGGGAACAATTCATTCAAATTCAGTAATGATAAACATCATGTGTGAGTTTTAGCTAAAGGTGAAAGTCACAATTAGTCAAATATCCTATCAGAATTATACAAAAAACCTGAGTCATATTTTTTAACATTATTCAAATTTTGTGATTATGTGATCCATGTATTTAACAAGTGATACTTTAGACTTCTACCTTTGTATAAAAATCACAAATCTCAGGTAATTCTGAGAGCCATGGTGACACAGACAGCAGGAATCAGCCTCCAGACTGACCTTGGCGATGAAGACGCCGGTATCCAAAACAGCTTTGATGTGCTTCAGCCAGCCTGAGTTCTCCAAACCCTCCAGGAAGTCGGACATGGAGGGGGAACGAAGCTCACTCACTGAAAGCACAATACAGCTGTCTCACTGGCAGGAAACATGGAGCATACCTGACCAACAGACATTATCTGACTTTATTCGTCTCACAGCTCCCTCCGGGTGTATTCTGTGCATAGTTTGTCTTTGTTCAGAGCAGATTGTTCAATCCCATTAAACTGCAATACCCTGGTACCTGAAACTGTTCCATGACAAACAATAGTTGAAGAGAGTTTTAAATAAATGCTTTTTAAACTTTTTTAAAAAGCTAACTATGCTGGCATAATGATAGCTTGAACATAAAACAGAAAGAATAAATGGAAGCTTTATTTTGATGAAAAAACTATGTAAATATTAAACAACCTAAAGGTGTGTCATCAAAGTAAATTATCTTTTTAAATAAGGGGGACAATTTTTCCACAAATAAGTTCTCCTGTTAAGCTAGCAGGCCTGCTACTACCAATCCTCGATTACACTAACATTACGGAAGCCCCCAAAGCCTTTTAAGTTATTTATTTAGTATGTTGCGTACATGGAAGAAAAATAATGACAGATTGATAAAAAAACGTACAAATTACTTAAAACATTAAATGCAACGGCTGTGAACATAGCTAAAGTTAGCATGTGCTTCTTAGCTTCCTACTCGATTAAAATAAAAGGCTATCAACTTTTGGCTAGCTGCTAATCTGTAGTTCTAAAATACAAACAAAAGTTTCGTTAAGAGATTTCTATCTATAATAAACCAAATGTTCCATTTGGAAAAATACAAAAATAGAATAATTTTAATGTTTTCTGGCAATAAGATTAAAACTAGCTGGGCATTAAAATCTGTTTGGGATAATAAATAATAATTTACAGATAGATTATTTGCTGAAATTTATATACATTTGGTTCTTTATGAAATGTTTTGTGTATTTGTAAAGCAAAGGCTGTCCAAATTGGGGACTAAAATATTCCAGAGCTTGGGGTGATATTTTGAAATAGTTTGGACAGGAAACCCTGTCAGGGTTAGATGAGGATAGGTGCAGTTATAGGTTGGAGGTTTTCAGAGGATTTAACTGAAACAAAGTGGCAAAACTGGAACTTTTTATAGCACAGTAAATGTTCCTGGATAACAACAAGTGGTCTGTAGTTATGTGGAACATTTTTTCATAATATACAATATTTTCTACATTCTGGTGATGTTTAGAGAATTGAAGTAAAGCAGAATGGGCTCTACTAAAATACTTGCATATTAAATATACTTTAAACTAAGAATTTTACAACTTTGTTAATTAATTATTCTCTGCAGTTCAAGTAAATTAAACAATGGGGAACTAATAAGCTATTACTGGATTACTGGCACAGATACAGGAACCAGTGCAATAGAAACCTATGAAAACTGTGTATAAGTATTTGGTAATAGGCTAAGGATTATAAAACTTCAATCATTATGTTATTAGTTTTTCTTACAATTGACAAAACAGCTAAACAATCCAGACCTTCTAGGAGGCTGTAGATTTGATAAAATCTCACCATGACAGGAGACAGCACTTCTCTGGATGTTTCAGTTTGAAGGTGTGATTGAAATTAAGTTTCTAAACATATTCAATGGACCAAAATAAAGATAAATTAATATGATAAGTAATAATAAAAGAAGAAAATCCCTGTGGTTTCTTCTCTATGAATCCAGGAAAAATGTTTTTCTGCAGATCTTCTCTGGATGTGGTTGGTCTTTTCTTGGGTGGCAGATCTTTTGAAAAATAAAATGCAATGGTTCTTTTTTTTTTTTTTTTGTGGACCTCCTATGGGGTTGAGAGACAAACCTGAAAGCTTTAAGAATTATTTGTGTTGGTTTAATTACTCCTTAATTCCAATGGGAGATTATTAAACTAGTCTGTAATTTTTTAGTGTGAGAAATTGGGAATATGGAGTGAAAGTGTGTGAAGACACTAAGATGGGAGAGTCTCACTCACAATGGGTGAGAGTTGACAGCCCTGAAATAATATCTAATTTTTATTGTCAGGCCCACATTGTTTATAATTCAGTTTTGAAAGTTGGATTTATTTACACTCATTCATTTTTCTTTTCTGTTCCATTATTGCAATGCTGTAGCGTTATTTTGTAAAGTTAACTTTGAGTAAAGTTGTTGTAGAGTGGTACAACTTTAACATAACATCTGGAAAATGTCTGGAAATATGAGAAAATGTGTTTTGAGAAGCTTCTGAGGATTTTATTTTCTATAAGTTCATCAATCCATCCATTTTCAATCACGCTTATCCCGAGCGGGGTCACGAGGGTTGCTGGTGCCTATCTCCAGCTGTCTACAGGCGAGAGGCAGGGTACACCCTGGACAGGTCGCCAGTCCATCGCAGGGCAACACAACCATTCACACACACACTGAGTTGTGCAGGTAAAATACTTTTTTGTTGTTTTAATTAATCTGAATAAAAAAAAAATTCCAGTAGTTCTATACATTTTTTTAGACATGCAAATGTATCAATTGTTTGATGTTAATGTTTTGTAAAATGGACCCCAAGAAGAGTAGTTGTCAAGCTAATGACAACTAATGGAGATACAAGTAATGAAAAAATAACATCGTATAATCAACTGATTATGATGTCACAGATTATGAATAAGATGTATAGCACATTTTACAATTTGATGCAGAATGAAAATTACTTAGTACATGTGTCTAGTATATACCCATAATTTAATGAATGCAATACAGGGTAACAATTTAACAACTACCTATTAGTACGTATGAGTTATAATAACTTAGGGAAAGAGTTTCCAGCTAAACAATTTAGGCTTTTGGTAATCTCTGATTATTTAATGTGTTTTACATGAATGAAAATAATGAGTAGAGACAGCAGGTCCTGGTGAAATGTCCTGGATGAGTTCCACTTTCTAAAAGCCCTGCTGTGCATTCCCAGACATGTAACCTGCCCCCAGCAAAGAGGAACACACACTGATCACATATAAAAAATCTATATTAAACTCAATGAAGCCCTATTTAAATGATAAAAAAATATTAACATTCTGCTTTTAAAGCCCTTCCCTTCTAATGCTACCCTGGCTAACCACCCATACTGACTATATTAATTGGAGAAGAATAACACTGTGGTGTCTGACAGAACAGAAGCAGGTCATCAGGTTTAGTGTGCCTGTAGTAATGTTAATGGGCCTCCCCTTGAAAAGGAAAATCCAAGTTAATACTCCCAAGTGGGGGGTCCTCTAAATCTTATTTAAGAGTCCAGTGGCGTTAGAATGAAGCCATCCGACCGAAGGGCTGCTGCTGTCTCTGGCATTTGAAGATTTCCATTTCAGTGCCAGGGGCCTGAGAGTTATAACTGAGGATAAGTCTAACTTTTCAGACATGTAATCACATCATTCTCACGCCCTCTGTTTCGCTTCTGGGGAGAACGTGTGGGACAGTCCGCTCCGGGAAACCCAGTCAAAAAAAATCTGAAATCAAGTCCAGATGGGTTCAAAGCCTTTCTAGGAGCAGTCCTAAACAGTACCCAGAAATTCTCCCGTGGCCTCATCTGAAACCCGGCTGCAGAGCAGCTCAGACTGCATGACCACTCGTGAAGAAAGCAAAGCTCCCTGCACTGCCTCAGTAGGGTGAAGAACTGGGTTAATTAAACTATACATTCATGTAGGGGAAGCTTTCCTATGGAGGGTGGCTCAAGCTGTTACAAAAACTGTGTTAAAAAAATATTTGTCATTTCCAGATTTCTTCTATCACTGGAAAAAATCTGGAGGTAAAAGAGACATTTTTCCACTGGAACAAGACAATTTACACTTAAAATAAGAAAACGCAAATGCATTGCTTTATTTCAAGTGCATATAATCTAATTATCTTATTAGAAGAGTAAAAATACTCATTCCATTGGCAAATCACCTCATTTACCTACTCAAATTAATCAATTACACTTAATTTAAGGAATTTTTACTCATTTCTAGATGGCTTTTCCAGTGTCTTTATTTTTTTCTTTAAATCACACAAATGTTTAATGTCCTTTAACAAATGCTCATATAAGACAGACTTAACTTAAGCAAATACAAAGCCTACTTTTAAAATTAAGACTTTTTTTTTCAAAGGAAAAAACATTTCCGAACAAACATGGCCCTGTGTAAAAAAAACAAAACAACTCCTGCGGCCTAAATCAGTTACCTGGTTGTGCCATCCTGTTACGGAGGCTTTTACACCATCATGCAGGAATTTTGACCCATTCTTTGCTGTTTTAATTCAGCCACATTGAAGTGTTTTTGAGTATGTGTGGCATTTTACAGCACAAGATAAGTTTTTCTTGTACTGTTCGTGGCGGCTGGAAGTAGATGTTAGCATTTTTCAGGTATGTGGTACAAAAAAACAACAAAAAAACACGACATGACTTGACACATGACACAATTTATCATTTTTTTTGTAAAAGGCTTAAAATGTACGGCTGTTGTTCTGTCAGATGAGCATACCCCGTCAGAGCAGCATACCCACAGTCAATACCCGTTTATCCCTTTAGTTTATTCCCCTGTTTATCCTTTTAGTTTATCCCTTTTATTTTGTACGAAAAATAAACTTTAAACTACCTCAACAGGTGTGTTTAAAAAAAATTGTATTACTTACTTATTGATGTTTTTTGAAGCGTACGGCGATCTGACCTTAAATTGTTTTTTTGTACATAACTAAAGGGATACATGCCTGTTGAGGTCGTTTAAAGTCTATTTTTCATGCAAAACTAAAGGGATAAAGGCAAATCTTTGCATGCATATTGACTATAGGTATGCTGGTCTTACGGGGTATGCACATCTGACAGAACATCGTACGCACTACTAGCTAAAAGCCTGCTTTAACATTAGCTATTTCCTCAGGAGTAATCACAGAAGGGAAAGAATTTAATGGTTATCAATTTCTGATTTAGGCAAATGATTTGATAAAATATGATTTCAAATATTCATGTTTCATTTCCTTATTTTGGATTTGCATTGTGAATCGGTCTTAACACATTCCAACTGTACTTCATTAGCTAATTTGACCCAATTCCAATGTGTTGATTATAAACTTTAGTTCTGAATCATTAAAATTCATGTCAACTATGACACAATTACATAATTTCATTGGTTATGGCTTTCAACTATTTAAAAAAAAATTTTTCTATGTTTGCATGGAGCTCAGGTTAGTTGAGTTTCAATGGTTCAGTAGAGTTTTTAACTGTAATGTGTTTCACTTGGAGATGAAGAATTAGTTTTAATAAATTCCTATATTTTGAATGGCTGATGTGATTTTTTTCCATATGTGCACACAGTTAACTGTTTTGACTATGACTTAAGAAAAAAATCACACTTTCATTTGTTGTCTTAACACAAAGTTAGTTGGACAGGTGTTGAAAGAACAACACATGATGTCATGAGAGTATTTGATTATTTGCACAGTATCTGCCACAACAAAACCAATTGAGATGGACTAACTGGAGTGGCTCAGAACTGCACAACCCTAGTGTGTTTGAGTTAAGACCATGAATTCTGTAGAGCAGGGGTCTTTCCAGGCCAAGGACCCCCAAACTGAAGGCGAGATGGAGCGGGGGACCCCCTAATTATATATATTGTATGCAATTGTGTTATATCAAACTGGTCCTATAGTCACTCTATTACATATGGAGTCATATAATGAATGTAATTGGGATTATTAAAGTATTTCTGATTCTGATTCCTGGTTGATGGGACAGGTGTTGTGAATGAAACGGTGTCCAGCTTGAAAGAGCTCCTGTGTGTCGCTGAATGTGTGCATTGATGATTGAAAGACATCTTCTGCCTCCATGTATCTGTTTACTACAGTGTTTTGATTCATGTCAATGTGGATTTAAAGACATTTTAATTACTGGAAAAAATTGCAGGGTGGAATATTAAAAAAAAGTCTAATCAACCAAAACTTTCGTGACCCCCAAGATGCACCTCCCCATTGAAGACCTCCGCTGTAGAGCCTATTTTTTCAGAATATTCAGTCAAAAAGCAGAAATCATGATTTCATTAACTTCAGCAGTTGTTGAAGAATCAAAGCAGATCCTGACCATCAAACTACCACCTCCATGTTTGACAGCATGTATGCCGGGGAAATCACTAACTGATCCGTCCAGGAAGCACGATCCATCCTGCGTATCCGAGAACAGAATATGTTCCGGATCGCCGAAAACCATGTAATAATGTGACTGAAAATACTTTTTTATATACTTGAAACATTAAAGAATGCAAACTACATCGTATAGAAAATATTAAAGACTTTTCTGGAAGAAATGGAGTGCGTTTTACATTCTCACCATTACATTGAGTGACATCATCATCGGACATGCTCAGAGCAGTCACAGTAACGTTCCAAAGGCTCTTTAAGTGTTTTTTTTCTATATATTGCCTTTTTTGTTTTAAGAATAGGCTATATTTATGCAAATACAAAAATATTCAAAGGGAACACCCAGCTGGAAAAAGACAAAAGAATAAAAAAGTAAGAAACAGGAAGTATTGCCTACCCCGAAGTTATTCTGTTCTCGCATGTGCAGGACTGATCGTGCTTCCGGGACAGATCGGGTAGTAACAGGGGTGATTCTTCCACAATGTGGTTAACAAGAGTTGTTTTTTGCTTTATTAGGAGGATCAGTTAGTTTCCACACGAGACCAGGTTTGTTTGGATAATTTGTCAATTTCCCTCAACACCGATATCATGGTATTAAAACCCCCTTTCAATTCACTTGGATATGTGATATATAAAGTTAGTTTTTTAATTAAAAATGTTGTTTAAAAGTGAAACAATTTGTATTTTTTTTTAATCTGGATTTTGTTTAGTAAAAAAAAAAAAGAGCGAAATTATTCAAAGAGATAATTTTACCTTCCAGCATTTTCTGTTGGCTGTTCCTCATGACGTGGATGTTTTCAATGCCCATGAACTGGAATTTGATGTTGGAGTAGTTATCTTCATTCTCATAGCCTTTCCCTGCAGCTCTGTTCGCAATCGCATTCAACTAGAAACACATGACACACGTTTCACTCCAGGTGATTTCACCCACAGCCTTACAGAAACATGCTTTTATGTTAGCGGGCAGCACAGCTGACATGGAGAGCAGGGATGCTCTGAGGACACGCAGCTGTTAAAAACAATCCGCCTGAAGAAACAACGCAGCACTGGAAGTGGCTCATGTTTGCGTAGGCACAAAGGGCTCACCTTAGGCCTGGTGTCCACCACATACATGAAGTCGCTGCGGGGGTTGGACCTCAAGATGGCCTCCAGCATCTGCTCGTCCTCCAGGCAGCGAGCGCTGAAACCTGACAGCGGCTGGCTGCTGCGGCAGATGGTAGCCTGGAAGGAGGGAAGAGGCCCTTAATATGAATTTAAGATCAACAAAGGATTTTAAAATGCATTCCTTTACATTTCTAGTCGGATGATATTAGAAAAACAAGACGTTGCAAACTTAATGGTCAAGTTTATAGTATTTTTCTCAACACTTAAACAAAATGTGCACATGACATACTGTAGATTAATGCTGGTTACATGTTTCCTCCTTGCATGATAACTTGAGATGAGAGAGCATTGCTCATATCTCCATTTAGCAGCCACAAGGGAAATTAAGGAAGACTTCTTGCGATGCTCCCCTCTAGACCCTGATCCAGTATGAAGGACAGTCAGACCCTTTACCCTGGGAATCTGACCTCATGCACACAAAGCTATCCCTTCTATCAAAGCAGCATTGGGAAGAAAAAGATGTTCTCAGAAAGATCTCTTGGTCAGAAAATGAACTAAAATGTAGTTTAGTTGCTTTTCATTTGTTCCTTTACAAAAAAAAAAACAGATCCAACATCCTCCCTTGTTTTAAATAGATGTTTTTAGGCTGAATTAAAACATTAAAAGGGTAAGAATGAGTAAGTCGACATCTTGTTTGCTTAATTAGCAGCAGAAAGAAGTACTATAACAATATAGTACAAGCAGTAGGAGTTACCACATTTCTGAGTCATAAAAAAAGAGAAAATCCAGACCTCTCTGGGTTTTTAATCGAATTCTATTAAAGTGTAAATACAGACGTTACCAATAAAATCCATGGTACATTTTGTTTTACTGCGGCGTGGAACTAGGTCAGACAGAACGGATTGAAATCAATACGACAGAGAAGAGTTTGGAAACCCAAATATTTAATCATGTTCTATTTTCCTTTTGTTTTCTTTTAAATTCTGACCTAAAAATACTTGGACTTTGTCAGATTCTTTCTGAATCTCCAGGAACCCAGGAGACATGAAACCCAAGAGGGAAACTTTAAAAAATATTTATAAAAAACTACTCAGAGAGAAAGAAAGACAGGCACCCTCATTCCAAGGATGGACGACCTTAAAGGTTTATCCACCTCCATACCCCTCACCCTTCATGCACACACTTGTTCCCACTCTCCACATTTGCAATCTTGCTTAATGTAACTCCAAATTTTAGCTGCTTCATAAGGGATGTTGCCACCAACCAAATAGACTCATTAATAATAAGAAAAACAACTCTGCCCTCTTTTTCATATAATTTGTGACTTAAAAAAAACAAGTAAAAACAGTAAAAACCTCTCCCTTGTTGTACTTGGAAGGACACAGCAAACTGGAAATTGTGATTAATGGTAAAATCTTCCCACCTGACCTTAAACTTTGCATTCAGGCTGAAACTAAAAAAGAAAATAATATATGCTGGGAACTTACATGGTTTTCTTTGGAGTAATACGACAAGGCAGGGAATCTGCCTCTGCTTCTGAACTTGGAGCTGCCAACCAGCACCGGGGGTGTGGCCGACTCAGGGACGAACACCTCAGCAGGGTAGGTGTCACTCACCTTTAAAAAGGAGGGGAAAATACAGCACCATTTTCATAAACACGCGGCCACTCTATTAGGATGAAGTCTGTTCTCACGAGATCAGCTGCCCGACCTTATAGTGCTGGTTGACCAGAGAGAGTTTCCACAGAGAGTTAGGAAGTCCCATTCGGCGGTAATCAGCCCTCAGATCCACGAAGGCCCACTCCTGTCTCCTCTCCTCTTCATCAATGTTTGGCTTATAGGAGAAGCAATACAGCTCCTCGTAACTCTCTGCAAGGCAAATAGGAATCATTAAAACAAACAGTTCAGACTTTTACTTCACTGATAATGTCCATAGAAGGGGAATAATGCGCATAGAAGTATAGTACTTTTTAAAAGATTTTTATATTTCTTTAATATTTTTCTTGTATTTTGACACAAAGTTGAATGTTTTTGGGGGTTTTAAGTGATAAAGCAAACACAATTTAGTCAATTTCTAGGAATATTCAGGCATTTAAAAAAAAAAAGTCACAAACAATAATAATAAAAAAGTAAGGGTTTTCTCTGTATTCACCTCTTCTGAGTTAATCGTTTTTGTAACTGTTTTTAATACTATTACAGCTGCTGGTCATCCAGATTGAAATGTTTGTTCTGTGCTCTGATAGAAACTACACAACCTCAGTTAGAATGCAGGGAGAGGATCTATTAGCAGCAATCTAAGCTTTGTCACTGATTCTCAGTCAGATTTAGGTCTAGAACCAGACTCTGACTCTTTTAATAGAAAGAGACACTTTTCCCCTAATTCTACCAAAATATATATTTTTTGAGCGGCACATATTACATGTCACTGCCATATTGTATGTGGCAGAAAGTAGTTAATGTCTGTTATAATGAACATCAATTTGATGTGCTACACCATTCGTTTTCAAGGTTTTTAGCTTGCATACAGCACAGACTGTTGCCTCTAGGTATAGCTGTGCAAATATAGATTTTAAAAGTATTATAAATAAATAGGAGTGTGAATATATATAACTATATATCAAGATTGTAGATGTGTCTATGTATATCTATCACTATCTATATGCATATATGTATGTGAAAATATATGTACACATTTGTATTTATATACATACATACATATATACAGGATTTATACAGGAATGAGTAACTCTAATTTAATGCTTTTTTAATTTAAAATTTATTTAAAATAAAAATTTATTTAAAATAATTTAAATGGCATCAACAAGTACCCATGACTCTCATATATATATATATATATATATATATATATATATATATATATATATTAGTGCTGTCAATCGATTAAATTTTTTTAATCGCGATTAATCGCATTTTAATCGCAAATTTTTTTTATTATTGAAAATCATTTAAATACTCTCGATGACATACAAAAAATACATACAGGCTAGGTTTGTGCCAATGTCCTTTTTTAAAATGAAAACAGGTCACAGACACTGATTTATGCCATAGAAACATATGGCAAGAAGATGGGGAGGCATGTAGCAAAAAATAACAAATATGTAGGCAAAAAAAAGGCCCTGAAAACAGGCTGATGCAAAAGACAGTCTTTACAGTTAATACAGTCTTTTGAACAAAGACAAGCATTTTACCCTACTGCTATAAAATGTAGTACAGTTATCATTAGATGTTAATTAACCAAGATAATAATGAACAATTTTCAATCAATACATCAAAATCAATAGACCGACATCCCTAGATGGAGGTAGTCTATGCTCTAGAAAGTTACTTTTCAGCCTGTTAACAAAAATGAGAACACACACACAAGCACCCACCCACCCACTCACACCCACGATACTGAGCTGTGGCGTACACAGACGGCAAGAGTGCCGTAGCAGATTCCATTTCACCTCAGTAATCAGTTTTCTCAGCGTATTTCAGGTTGCTACTAGTTACCAGACACTCAACTTGTTTGTTGGTGGTGGGGCTTAAAGAAAAGGCACTAGCGTCACCCAGTGTATGAGCGTCTTTTTCCCTTGAGGAGCTCTGCTCTTGAAGCCTATGGAAAATGCATAGACTGGGGGAAAATAGCCCCGCCTTCCCGCAGGCTGCAGCGGGATGTACTTGGAAAATTGTACCATAAAACCACATAGCGTTAATCTCACGTTAAAAAAATTATCGCCGTTAAAATGGCCTTGCGTTAACGCGATAATAACGCGATAATTTTGACAGCACTAATATATATATTTATATATTAACAATGCAAAATCCTTTGTCATCTTTGTCGGCAAAAGGCTGCAGCCATGTCCCGAATTCCTCGTTTTCCAGCCACTTTTGTTGAAATGTGCATTTCCCATTCTCTAGCTTTTTCTACACCTCGAGCTTTTTTTCTGAACATACAGTTTTACTATCAACCAGAAGCAGTTCTGCACAAATATGTTTTTATATACGGTATCTGAAAAAAAAATGCTTTTATAAACTTTTCCTTTTTTAAATAAAGCATTTTCAATGCCATGATAATCAAATTTATTGAATTTGAATGTCAATTAAGGCCATAATTTAAAAAAGTATAATTTATTGAGTTTTAATCATTTTCAATGACACACAGAAACCCTGTATATGTATGTATGTGTTATGAATATAAAAATCACTTGATTAATATATATACATATATATATATACATAGACAAGATTAGGAACAGAATTGTTGGGGTAGTATTGAAGAGATAAAATTACTAATATGAGGTATAAAAAGGTTCTAGGACAATAAAGTAAAAAGAAAAAGAAAAAAAAAGGACAAAAGTGGTAACATTATTAGAAAAACATCATATTATGAGAATTAAGGGGGAACATTACCAGTTTACAGAACTATTTCAGTCCTGGAATAATAGAGCAAGGTTAGATTCTTTTAATTATTATTTTTTTTTTTTTACGAGAATTAAGTCAGGAGAATGAAGCCAAATGGAAACAAAAATGAACTGCGCATCATTTTAAATCTAAAGATAAGCTGCTCCTTTTAAAGTAATAATGCAAAGAAAAGTGAATCCAGTTCTTCCAAAGAAGAGCTGCTTTACTGATAAAACCTGCATTTGTTATTGTTTTTTTTTTTACACCTTAAAACATGAATCGTTCTTTACCATTTTCAGCCATTAAGAACCATTGCAGAAAGCCCACAGAATCTAGGGGCCGCAGACCCCTGGTCTACCTTTGACCAGGCCATTCAAATCTTCCTCAGCTTGCCAAATAAAGTCACCCCTCCCCCACAGGATGCTGCAGCACCCACCATGTCTCATGATGAAAACAATGTATTCATGTTTATGTGCAGGGCTTGTTTTAAAACGCACATATTTGTTTTGCAAATCTGGTCTTATCTGATCATAGCCTCTTCCTCAAAGACTGCAACCTCTATGGAGGTTATGCAACCAACAAAAAGACATGTAGTCACTGTCTTTCAGCTTTGTCTAACATTATTTTCAGAGGACAGACAGAACAGTGCAGAAGGTGATGTCTAAAGCTATGATTATTGTTTTATCACCTAGCCCTGATTTAAAGTTCTGCAGAACATTCTCCCTAACTGGTCTTGTGGTTGTAAAGTGACAAAACTTAAAAAAGGTACAATAATAGTATATTAATGCTTTACAAGCCTCTAACTGAGAACTACAGGAAAGAACTAAATGCATTGATGGATAAAATGAGGCTTTTGGAGAAGATGAAGCTGACCAGGCTGGGAGAGCCTCTGCAGGGACAGGAGGACATCCTGGCAGTCCTGCTCTCTGGGAATGCCGAAATGAAGAATCTGGAAGTTCTTGCAGCGGATGAGCAGAGGACACCCAGAGGGGCCGGCATCCTGTTTTTCCACGCTGCTCACCAAACTGTGAAGCACCTGATGAAAACATGCAAAGACTCATAAACACAAAGTGAAAGATTAGTGCCCTCTGGACTCAGTGCACTGATTATTACCCATGTTTCATTGCGGCCTCCTGCTTCATTCTCTACAAATATGCTGTGGGTGGCTGTCAGGTAGAGGGTTCCCACCCTGCTCCTCCTGGGGGACACTTTGTCCAGCAGCCTGACATTCTCCACCTGCAGGAGGGGGAGAGACAGGACATCAGGGACACTCTTCCAGCTGTTTGCACATGTCAGCTACAAGGATCAGTCAAACCCCACTCTGTGGGACCTGTGGGCTGCCAGCGTGGCAGCACACGCCCTTCACACCGAGACATGTTTGATCAGAAATATGATCATCAATCTGTTCTTGCTTTGCAGCCTGACACCTTTCTGCTAATGCGGAAATACAGCAGAGCTAGGAGCGCAGAGGGATCCTCGGTTACCTTCGGTAGCCGGATGTGCTCCATCAGGAGCTGCTGAGCCTCCTGCTGAGCGGGTCCGATCCGATTCCTCTCACCACAGCGAAGGATCACATCTGCTACACCATGTTCTATGGTTCAAGCTGCTGGACGGAGCTCTTAGGTGAAAACAGCCATAATATTACCATTGTCTGAATGGTGGCGGCTGAGTCCTAAAGCCCTTCAGCGCAGATGTTCTTCTTCTTGGATTTATTTGCGGTTGGCAACAAACATTTAGTAGCATTACCGCCACTACTGGTATGGAATGTGGTTCGTGATAGACTATACTAATAAATATATCTAATATCTAAGGAAAATGAATAAATAAATAAATAAATGAACGACATACTTATACATAACTTTGTATTCTACACACATTCACCCTCTCTATAATCAAATTCTATGAAATAATTTAGTTTTCTTTTAAAAAAAGAATAATTATCTGTATATGTTTACCTCCCAAATTCTTCCTCAACATATCTAATAAATAAATATTTTTCTTAATACATTCAAACTCTTTCCTCATATATATATATATATATATATATATATATATATATATATATATATATATATATATATATATATATATATATATATATATATATAAATCCTCTCGCTTTTATATTTATGACATTCCAGTATAACATGTTCTATTGTTTAATATATTCCACAGTAATCACATTTAACAATAGTTTGCTTTTGAATTTTGAAAGTTATTATCACTCTCTCCTCCTTTCTATTTAATCTTCCCTTTCCTCTTTTTCCTGCTATCTTCTAAATCTCATAAAACATTATTTTTTTTATTTTTAAGTTCAAATCAAACGGCTCTCTACCCCTGATTTCTATGGAGGAACAGCTCTACCATATTTAAAAATAAATAAATAAATACTCAATAAATAAATAAGCATACATTAATTGCCCACCAAAATACAATAAGCAAATAAATGTAGGTTGAAATTAAATATACGAGAGGGGCGGAGTTAGATGGGGGGCTAGGGTGACCCTAAAGGCTGATTTATACTTCAAAACTAGGTGTTGCAGTGAACAAAAAGACGTCCCCCTCCGCAGACACTCTGCTGCACCTCTCCCAAATTGTAGGTGACCGCAGACAGTGCCGCAGACAGGAGGCTGGCTTGTTTTGTTTGTATTACCGCAATTGCAAAAAACAACTTGTGAAGTTGGACCAGCTAGAAGAGCGAGGTGCGTGAGAACACTGGGACATTTTTTCCACCTGCATCCCCGCTATTTTTCGCCCTCATGTCCCTCCATTGTCGATGATTAGTACAGAATTCCTGCTCTTTTCAGAACTAGATTTTGTGTTATATGGGGTAAAGAGAAAATGCAAGTCATATACGAATCCTCAGTTAAATCATAGATAAATTAGGTAAATCATAGATAAATAACTATTCTAATAAAAACGTAACTAGATAACTACTATACGACTATAACTAGAAGTTATAAACCAGAGTTAGTGTCTTAAACTTTATTTATTACTTATTTTAAGTATTTATTTAATGGGCAGAAGTTGACCCTCTAAGACACAAATCCTCCTCATTTGCATAATGAGACAGAAATGCAGACAGAAATGTAAAAACGACAGGCAGAAATAGCATAGAAGTAATAAATAGGGTAAAAAAACAAAACAAATGAAGAATGAAACAGAAAAATATTATAACATGCACATAAATATGTGTATAATGACCCTGATTCCATTTTCCAACAGGAATTGGTACTAGCCCAGACTGGCAGGCCCAAACTCTAATTTATGATATATGCCTCTTCCACCTCCCCTCCTACATCCTCCCTCCATGTAGTTAATACTGTTATCATTACCATCCACTGTCTACTGTATTATTATCACTGATATCACTATCGTTACCATTTTTATCAATTTTTTCATATTATTTGTATCTTTTTTATTATTCTTTTTATTTATTTACTTATTTGTTTATGAGGGGGGGAGTTGCCATTGCTGTTTATTCATCTTTATTGTATTAATTTCTGTTATCTATTGTTTTTTGCGTTCCTTTATATCCTCCCAAAGGCACACACACACACAAATCCATATGCACACATGTAATACACCTAATGCTGTCGTGCTTTTTGCTTTAGTGCAGTTTCTTTTTATGACTATATCACTGTATTTTTTTGCACAAAAGTAAAAAAAAAAAGAAGATGAATAGACTAAGTACTGAGCTCTTAATCAACATTCCTATAATAGCAGTTTATTTTTCCAATAGGCCCTGTTATACTTTAATTATTTCAAAAACAGAATTTGGGTTAATTTCATTAAATTAACTTAATGAAATAATTAAAAGATGATCATAATATATCAAATATACGAATATATGAAATAAAGCCTTAGAATTCCCAAGTTTACCTATTTTTATTGGAATAACTGGAAGAAAAATATATTTCTTTATCACAATAAATTACTAAGATGTTCGACTGTTCCTTGACTTTTTTCTATTCTAAAAATCCTGTTTTTTGTGAACAGTATGCTTCCAATGTTAATATGAAACCACTGAGCTGTTTTTTTAAACAGATGTTAATTTATCAGTCTTTGCAACATGACAAGAAATGCACAGTTTTGGTTCAAATACTGCACTGCAACAGATATTAATGTGCATGCCACAGAGTTTTAGTGACTGATGTTGATCTGAAAGAGTTTTTTCCATTCCAATCCTTTACAATCAGGACATTGACAGACTTATCCATGTCCTGACCACACCAGCTAAACCAAAAGCATTGCTAGATGAAAAACTCATGACATCAGCACTATACTGATGTGTGAAAGTTGTTTTATCTGACAAATAAAGGCAAAGATCAGACCTGTGAAGTCATGTAAACCTGAAGGGAAAAAAGGAAACCGGTTTCTAAAGTTTTATTACAACTGGATTTGTCATTTTGTTTATTTAGTTTAGATTTGTAAAAAAATCATGATGTTGTGGACATTGCAACATGTGAAACTTAAAACAAGTATACTCGAATAAAGCAGTTATAGGATTAAGGACATCAAAAAGGATACTGTTTCCTTGGTGTCTTATATATTGATTCATAATGATGTGACACAATTCTGACAAATATCTATAATTTTAACATTTTGACCTGACATAGGGACCCCTATTTCATCATTCTGCTTTATTCTATCTCTATTCTCCCACTCTGCAGAATTTATCTGCTTTTTCTCATAGTAGCTTCATCTGGTCTGTTCCTGTTTGGCTGTGACACCATCCTGAAGAGAAATATTAGCTGTTCTGCTGCAGTCGACACCTTTGTTTGATAGATGTTGGAGATCGGCCTGTTTTTCAGTGTAGTCCTGGTTCTCCAACTGTGACTGGCTGGATGTGCTCTCCTCATCCTCTAACATGGGAGCTGGCTCAGAGCTTCTCTGGCTGGCTGTATGTTTCCTTGATGTGCTTGTGTTTATATCTCTGCTTCTTTTTTAATGTCTGCTACTGTCTCATTGAACCCAGTCGGCCTCGGCAGATCACACTGAGCCTGGATCTGCTGGAGGTTTCTTCCTGTTAAAAGGGAGTTTTTCCTCTCTACTGTCACTACAAGCTAGCTTGGTGTGAGGGATTGCATTCTAGTCAATGAGTCATGCAATCAACTGGTTTTCATTAGATAGAAAACTTTGAATTAATCTGACTTGATGGTTGAATTTTCTCTGTAAAGTCCCTTGAGATAACGTGTTGTGAATTGGTGCTATATATATTAAACTGAATTAAAATGGAATTGAATTGTGTCCTGTTGGACTGGAAAATAGTTATTCTGGCAATTTCTTTTTAGGATGATGAAATTGGATGAATTGGATTTAAACGAGCTTGTGTCATGTCAATATTCCTGGTGGAAAGAACAAAGGATGAAACACGATGTAGCAACGACCTGACAGAAGCCACTGGAAGATTCTGAATACATCAAGTCATAGATTTTCAGCTCCTCTTCTTCACCCTTACTGGGGTCAGCCCTAAAAAAAAACACTACTGTTGCGGTCTGCACTGAATACGGGAAACTCTAAAAATGTACTTATGCATTTGGACTACAGCCCTCAGAATGGAAAAGACTGACAAAAAACGTTAGTTATACAAATACTTTATTACCTAAACATATGGTGTCTACATTAGAATGTGTGACACAATACATGTGAAAAAAAATATGTATTTTTTTCTTACAAAGGATTGTGGGAAACCTTATAGAACAAGGAGTTGATAGGCATGTTGGAAGGTCCCTAAGCTAAAACAAGTAGAATAGGAGACATACTGGTTTCTCTTCCTCCATCCTTCCTTACAGCCAGGCCTATTTAGACAGCACTCGTCATGGCTAAAAAGTTCTTACTGATTCGCTGTATTTAAAAAGAGCCACTTTTGCTTTTCTCAGTCGTTTTACAAAAATGTTAAGTCTGTATTTTTATTCACATTCTGTCAGAGTGATTATGTCAGTCAGAGCATGTCCTGATCCCATGGTGTTTTTTTTTTTGCTGTTGTGTTTTGGTTTCTTTTCTTTTCTTCCTTCCTTTGTCTTACTGCTTATCTCATGGTATTGGAGTTGAACGACTCACCTGTTCCTTTTATAAAGTTCACTAAACGGTTACTAGTATGTGCTCACCTAATTCAAGTAATGGCAGCCCCTTTGTTTCCTTTACTGGATCCCCTTTGCAGCACCCTTTAAATGTTAGAAAAACACTTAAATGTTAGATAACAATATGCTTTTGGATTGACTAAGCAATTATCAAGAATGATGGTGGAGGGATAATAAATTCAGGATTGTTTTATAGAACAGTACTGTCACTTAAGAAACCGAGAACTTCTATGAGCACCAATGTTTTTTAGAGTGAAATGTGAGGCTTACAGTTCTTACAGTTAGGGCTTGTACTAAATCAGGTAATCTATAAGCCAATCCTGTTGAACAGAAAAACAAAATTAAATAAATGGCTGAATGAAGAAAATAATCTTTGTGCTTCATTAGCTCAGCAGAAGACATGACTAAACCTGATTGACCAGAAGAGAGGTAAGGTTACATTAACCTCAACAATTTAAAGCAGTGTTGTAAAACATAATGGAAGTGGTTACTTGAAGTTGTTGCTATCAAAACAGGCCCTGGAAGCTTTATCCTTCAATGAATCAGACTGAAACAACGTTTACCTTTGGGCTTCATTATTATTTCATCCATGAAA